GAAGAATCCCATTAAAGTTGTTTTTTTCCTATAGAATGAAAAATACTAAATTGCTGTCATTCTCTCTACATCTATTGCACTGGCCTGCTCCTCAGTCTGTTTCTCTAGTCTAGAATAATGCCAAGTTTCCTTATTGCCATATTGTGGGTGATGAGATTAATTAAGGAGGGAAAGAAAAGCATAATGAGTTTCTGAAGTTACTCAGAGTTGTGTATGATGAGCATTAGGGAGCCACTCAAGATACCTAAACTGGAGGACAAAGTGGAAACTGGGAAGATTACTTTGTCACTGTAACAGGGTGGCTCCTGTGGGGAAGGAAGCAAAGACTTTAAAGAAAGATTGTGTAGTGAAGTATTGTAGTAAATAACTTGCCTAAACCTTTGTGTAAACAGAAGAGGCAGCTCTGAGGGGGCATTGATAGGCCAATGTAGACTTTGCTGAGGCCAGAGGCTAACTCCGGACAACATAGTCCCTGGCAGGTGCTCTAGACCCAGTGGGTCAAAGTCCAGTGTGCTGAAGGGCCAGCAGAAGGTAATCAGGAAACCAGCGTTGGGGAGATGTTTTAAAAGGGCCTGACTAAAGTCTGATTCAGCAGAAATCCCTTATACTTCCTAAACCCAGAATTGTTTCTGTGTTGGGGGGGAGGGTGTGGGGAACGTAAAATGGAGGTGGCTAGAGCTGGGTGTGGAATAGATGGGAAGCCAGTTCCTCATAGTGACTATATGCAGTCATCTCATCAATGACGTCCTGAAATAGGGCAGCGGGAATGGAAAAGGTGAATTGGTTAAGATTCCAAAGGAATGAAGGGAAGGATTTTTGTGATAGGGATTCAGGAATAAGAGGTGGCAAAGGCAATGTTTAGACTTCTAAGAATTCCATAAGGAGTTCTGACAGAAATTGGTAGTTGGGATGAGAGACGAGTGGAAAAAATAAATATATTGTTTTTTCTTTGTTGAATCTGAGATGCTAGGAGTTCTGCCATGGATGTAACAAGAAGCAAGACGCTGATGACCGGTGATTAACTCCTGCAAACCAGAGGGGAGACACATTAGTAGGAATATGGTTAGAAAGGAAGTGTTAGAAGCACACATAGACCACATGAAAGGTGTTTGACAGCACACAGAGGATAAAGCCCTTATCCAGTGCGGCAGAGACTGAAAGCAAAGAGGCTGCTTTGATAATATATTTGAGAAGGTGATATGAGTGGGATTTGGGGTTTCGTGGAGCATTTAAAAAAGAATTGCTTCTGATTAGAGGGGAAAAAATTTGGAAGGATGATGGAGATTTGATAATGTCAGATGCTTTGGGTATTTATTTCCTATAAGCTGAGGTCATCCATAGAGAATGAGGTGAAACAATAATTTGGGGTTAGTCGGAAATACCTGGAAATAAATCCTTCGAGATGTGTTTATGAGGTGAAATAAAGAGTAAGAGCCACAGTGAGGATCTTCACAATGTTGAGACATTTCCAATCTCCTAGCACTTTTCTCCTGATGAGTTTTGTGTTTCCTGGCCGAGAATATCATTCATCTTTCCCTTTCGTTCCTTAAGTTCTCTGGAATCATTTCCAATTAACTGTTAGGTTCACAGTGTTGTTAGTTCATCAAACTGATAAACACAGTTCAGGTAAAGATTTTTGAATTTTATTGGAAGAATTCTGATACAGTTGTTTTCTTTTTAAATACATCTGAGATTAAACAAAATATATACATTAATGTCTTCAAGTAGAAAAAAGTGAAATACACATGATGGATTTATTGTACTATACTTAGGCAAATCATAACTGTTCACTTTAGCATATTCAAACCAAATTACAACACAGTCTTTGAAATTTGACATTATAACCTAGCCATGTACTCAAACTTGTTTAGAAATGTTTTGATGCCATAATCTTCACCAATGAAATCAAACCTAATCTCAAACTTGGCCATATGTTTAGAACCCATTAAAGACAGGGAGTTAAGTGTCATGGTGTTTAGAATATACTAAGTAGGGATTTGGCAATTTTTTATTCACAGTATTTCCCATATAAAAGATCCATTTTGTTTACTGATCAAACTCATAAACGTTGGGGCAAAATATCATTTGGGAAGAAACAGCACTGAATTTGCTATTAGAGGAAGCATTGGGATTACTAGCAAACTCTTGACAGAATGCATCTAGTTCAAAATAGAATCTTCACTGAGGCTAACTAATGCATGATACGTGATACCTAAAATTCAAATACTGAAATTCAAAATGAAGCTTTTTTTCACTAGTAAAAAATGTAAGTTTTATGGTGGCACCAGCAATGACAAGAGATGAAAGAAAGTGAAATACAGAGGAGCTCTGCTAAAATTTAGTAGAGAGGAAAAAGAAAACAGCTATCCTAAGAATATTTAAATCACTAATGACTACATGTAGTGTTGTTTTTATAGAAGCACCCTCAAGATACACCTCTGAGTTTTGATTGATAATATATCTAGGGATAAGTGAAATAGAAAACATATACAGGTCCTTAAAGTAATATGAATATGGCAATTCTCCATAAAAACAAAGGAGACAATGTGGTTTCTCATTTGGCAATACAAAATAGGAAAATTCAAGTGACCCAGGTTCCACAGTCCCAATTCTGCAAATTCCTGTCCAACAACATGCAAAATGAATAACATTGGTATACCTCCGCTGTTCCTGTATTAAAATGAATGAGCAGCTCACAGGCTACTTGAAAAAAAATGGCCAAAGTGAATATAAAGCCACTTACTTGTGCAAAAATGCCAAAGAAAAGCTGAGGTGTCTCCTGCAATAAACAGTAAATTATTGGCTTTACCTGTCCCCAATTCTTACTTTTGTATCCACTACTATCAGCAGTATTTACTCACTAGTTAACCAAATATGTACTAAGCATGTAAGTGTAAATTCATTCTAAGTTTGGGGATAATAGCATTTATGAGACAATGACATTCTTCTTTTTTGCAGACTTCCAACAACACAAAACACTACAAATACCAAATTTTTAAAGCCTTTTTCAGTTCCTTTTAAGCAGCTTACTCTGTGTCAGTAAAACTTTTTGTAAAGGTCTTAAAAGTGCTTTACAGGAGCTCCTATTTATTGCTCATTAGCCTGCTCAGTTTACGTTCAATGGCAAAGGTAGGAAGCGGTATGAGAGCAGTGAAAGAAGGAACAAGCAGGGTAGAAACAAAGTATATATAACAACGGTCCCCCATAACAATCTTGTCATGATAATTGTTTACTGGTTTTACAGGAGAATGTTTAGATCTGCTAAAACTTCTTGGATCTCTAATGACATTAAAAAGCAAAACAAAACAACAGAGTAGTCTTCAGAAAAAGCACTGGATTTAGCTTCCTCATCCATAAAATGGGGTTAAGAATTCCTTCCAAAGATGTTAGGAGAATCAGAAGAGAAAAATATATTTGAAAATGCTCTGTCCATCATAAAATAATGCAAATTCTTTCTTTATAGAAATGTGATGATTTTAAATGTGGTAACATGAAAAAGGCTACACAAAGAACCTGACAAATACTAAATAAAAATTAAACCCCACCCTTTGTGTATAATTTGTGGTTAGGAAATGCTTAAACATAAACCAAAAGTGCCCTTATCAAAAAGATTCACATCTGTTTGGTCTTCCAGAACTATATTTTTCTGCAAATATTTTTTTGATACCTAAATTTTCATTGTATTACATCTCCCCATCCTATGGTGATGTGGATCACTGAAGCTTCTGAGGGAATCATTGCATTAAAACAATCCTCTTTCATTAATAAAACTTCTAATGAATGTTCTTCAAAGAATAAAATAATTTCCCTTTTTTGCCAAAGTTCTTGTGAATTGGAAAATAATGTGTTTCAAAGACAGCAACAGAAAACAATGTAATGAATGCTTTTAATGAAGAATTGAAAGTAGCAGTTTTGTTCTGAGATTCTTAAATTTTCATCCTATCGAATTAAAAGATTTGCTCTATGTAACATTCAATGCCCAATTTGGGGTGGCTTTTGGAATAATATAAAAAATTCAAAAGGTCTCCAGTGACTGAAAACTAAAGTAACAAGACTGAAATGATACAACCTGTGAATTAGCCTCGTTTCTAAAAAAGTACCCATTCACAAAATATAAATGAAACAAGAAACTAAGCAATCCTTAAATAGGACTTTGATTTATCCTAGGGCAATTAACAGAAAACTTCACTCTCAAGTTATAAGTATCCAATGTACAGATGTTACTTTCTAAAAATCAGGAACTAGTTTCACAAGAGTAAAAAAGTAAAAAAGGGTAAAAAAATTAATTATAGCTTCCATAATGAATACTATGGAAATAATATTCTAAACCTCATAATTAGATATGAAAAATAAAACAAAACTCCATTTATAAAGTGCCTTAATGTACCAAAAATGGAGGTCAGATGTCCCTTATTTACAGATGCTTTTCATCACGTTTACAGAAAGGCAGATCTTCCAAGGAGGGACAGGCAGCACGACGGGGTCGAAAGAATTCTCTCTAGACTTGGAGTCAGAAGACCTGGATTCTAGCCTCGGCTTTACCACTATCTCTGTGACCTTGAGTAAATGAGAGTTTTTCTGAGCTTCCAATTTTCTCTTCTGTAAAATGAGAGGCAGAATGAGACTCTTTCTTAGGACACTCCCCTTTGATTTAAAATTCCATGTTAAGCCACGAAATATTTTTGTTCTTGAATCCCAACATTATATAAGAGGATGTGATCATATTAATAATCACTATAAAATTGATTATTCCATAGTATATGGTAAAAATATTATAGAACTCTGATCAACTACCTTTGGCTGCTTCACAAAGGTGCACAAAAGTCACAGTATTTTGGTTACTGGTGTTTATGTGTGAGCTTAATTTAAAGAATGCTGAAGCCTTCTGGATACAAGGGAAATCACAATGCCAGTATCATCTGCCCCTGCTTCCTGTGTCTCTGCAGAAGACAGGGTAGGATGACAGTGGGAGGAGCACTGAGCTACAGATAAACTAGATACTGCCCTTCCAAAGGGACACAGGAATCGGCAAAATAAGGAAGTCATACATATGTTATGCCCGTCATCTTGATCAGTAAACTCTAAATTTAAAAACACAAAATTAGTACAGGTATATTTCTGCTTGGGTAAGTTTACCTGCAAAGTAAACTTTCCCTGAGTAATACAAGCTTGTTCTCTAGGAATATTTTGGTTTTCAAAATACTAGCAGAGAGATTTTTTCCCAAAAAAATTAACTCAACAAAAGGGACATCTTACATTTATTTTATGACAATAATCAGGTAGTATTTCTCAATGAAATTACCTGCTTTTGCAATACCTCTGTGCTAAGAACACTGATAAGACACATTACTCAGAGTGAGAAAAGGTTGCTTTTTCCTCACACTGATTTTTTACTGCAGCACATGTAGGTTGAGGACACTGAATTAGAACATAAATGACAACCTTCTAAATGATAGGAGCTACACTCTATTGTAACAGGTGCAAAATTAGGTTACCTACCAGTCTAATACTCTGTATACTCTATCTTATCAAGGAAAAAACATACTCATGCACTTAATGTATTCAGAAATAAAGTGACACACATTTTGACAAAACGTCACTTGGAATGGAGGGTTCAGGGAAGGGTAGAACTGGATCTTCAAGATGCACTGGCAAATTTTGTAAGACCGTGCAAATACGAGCCCCATATGGGAAATATCAGTACAATTACATGTAACTAGTTATTAAAGGCACACGCCAAAATCCCTGCATTCCTCTAGATGTGCCATTTTCCATCATATGCCAAAAAACACAGAACCCAGGCTTCTATCAGGCTTGGTTAGTGGATGCAAATTTCCAAATGACTACTTAACATTTATAATGAAAAAACCTGTACCATTATCAGGACATTTCCTTTTATATTTTTCCTCCTAAAAACCTCTCAACCACCGTTTCAGTTAAGCACATTCAAATGCAAGAATTCTTAGCTTTAGAACTGCCTGGCAGTAAGTAAACATGAAAATACTACTTAATCTGCAAAAAGGGTCCTAGGAACAATTCAGGGCAATCTGTCACAATTTAGAAAAGCATTAAGAAAGTAGTCTAGTTTTCCTAATAGAGGACAGTTCATAAATTGTAGATTAGAAATAGGGGGAAAAATTATCTAAAACTTAGATAAAATCAACAGCAATTTCTTCCACATCAGTGAACAACTGACTATTGATCTACAATCTAAACATTTCCATTCTGCAGGTTTTTTTCCCTAGCAATTTCAATTTTTTAAAGTTAAAAGGGATTATAAGATCCATTGTGATAAAATGAAGTACAATGGAAAAATGTCTATCCAGATCCCTATTTTTTCATAGAACACAGAGAATATTTCAGTGTTCAAGCACCTGTCATCTCAAAATGCAATTTTATTTTTCAAATAAAGAAGAACCTAAAAATAAACTTATTTACTAACTTCTAAGATACCTGGGTTAGGAAGAGTTCCGTATTACCACATTTTCTCTATACCTTTCATAGTTCAAATTCAATAAAATGCTGCTTTAAGATTCCTGAAAGCAACTGTATTTGTGCAATGCTTGTACCAGAAAACAAACCAGATGACTTGGCATTTTGAAGAATGAAAAAGTAAAATAACATTGTCACAACCATGTCTGCCTTCACTCTACATTGTTTTTTCCTTTCATTAATAAAATCCATAAATGGCAAGAAGAGTTATATGTTTACCTTAGATACAGTAGTTTTTATAGAAATTTGGAATTTCAAGGAAATCAAAACAACTGTCTTTATCAGATGAATTTGCAAAGGTTTGAAAACATAGGCCACAAAAGAATTTAATGTGATAATTGAATTTGATTTAAAAAGCAAAATGATACCTTTAATTTTTTTATGATAAAGCACTAAAAGGAAAATTATCATATACTTAAACCTAAGCTGGAAGTACATAAAAAGACAATCTGTATACATTAATGTGAATCTTATTTTGTACAAATTACAGAATATCCATTAAAAAAAACATATATGACCTTTGATGGTACATTTCTATGCTAGCAAATACATTTTCAGATACAAAGGCACTTTGAAAACCCAATATGGTTTGGTTCATAAGTTTGCAAGGTACAAACAATTTTACAAACATATGATTATACTGAAGAACGTCAACAATTGTGACATTACATATAAAACAGATTCCCATTTCTTTTTTTTTTTTTTAAATAACACTAGTTTTGTGGGAATGAAAGCAGTGGTTTCCAGCAGCTTCAGTGATGACATTCCAGATAAACAGAGGCCTACTATCTGATTTTTTTACTGGTTAGGAGTAAGGGCATTTGAAATATGGACAAAAAAAGAAAAACAACCTCTTGGAATAAAAGCAAAAACCTCAGAAATCAAAATGGTTTGGAGGGAAGAGCACAAAATACAAGACCAAAAGTCCAGGAGAGATCCTCTTAATTCTGATCCCTTAGCTGTGAACTCGTGTCAGAGCACAAACGGCTGACTGCCCGGTCTACCTGGTGCTGGGAAGGTGCAGTGATGATTTCTCTATTTTAAAAAGTTAGGTACAATGTTTTGGATTGTGCAGTACCAATCCAAAAACTAGGTCCCCCGAAAAGCATAATTTCTTTTCATTCATTACATGGCTGCAAAGTCAATCTGTACATAAAGCTGTCTCACTCCAGCCTGAAAAGTTAAGGAAAAAAAAAAAAAATTAGAAAATCAAACAAAACTCATGTTGAAAACTCATTTTTTTTGAAAAAGGAAAGAACTGTTTTTCTCTTCTCCTTCTGGGAAATGATTGTCCATTTTTCATCATGAAGTGCCTGTAATTTTATTTTAGAAATAGGAATATTGATCAGCTGCAATGAAGATTCTCCATTTACTTCTACAAAAGAAATCCATGCTATTGACTGCATACCCTGTCCAAGTGAATTTTGGAAAAATGAGGTTACCCATCCACCATTACTCTGCTAAAGGACACCACAGTGCTTTACTAGTTGGCTACCAAAATCATAAATTAATCTAGTCTAAATCTTCCCATGATCACTGATGAGTAAACACTTAAGTATAGCCATCTACTAGTTATTTAGTTATTTTCATTCCAAATCCGCTCTTCAATTTTGAATATGACCTCACTAATCAATGTTACGCTCTCAAAATTGCCCCCAGCTCTCCTGTATTACTTACTGTATTTGCTCTCTACAATTCCTGTTCTCCCTTTTCTCTTGAACCATTTCATACAAACCTTTGTTGCCTACAGCTCTTCGCAGAGCTGTTTGTCAAGGGCACCTCCAAGCTGTTAAGACCAGTACTCATCTCTCAGTCCTCATTTTAACTGCTTTATCTACCAGCAAGGACACAGGTGACCACTGCTTTCTACTGAAACACTTTTTCCCTTCTTGGCTTCCAGACAATACTCATTGGTTGCCCCTTTAGCTTATCTATCAGTCTTTCTCAATCCCCGTTGCTGCTGCTTCCAATTATTCTCTTATCTTTGAACACTAAACACTGAAATATCAAAAGGCTCAGGCCTCAGATCCCTTCTTTTTCTATACTTGTTCGCTAGATGATCTCATGTAGTATCCAGACTTCCAGTACCATCTCTATGCTCGCACCTCCCAGATTTGTATTCCCAGATGGAACCTACCTACCATTTGCCTAACAGTCTGACAAACATCACACAGCCAAATTGAACAGTTTCCTCCCCTTAAACCTGTTGATCTTATTTTTATCTCCTATAGCTCAGTTCCACCCTAATGATGCAACTTAAAGACCTATTTTTCTCTCACAGCCAACCCATGAGCAAAACCTGTTAGCCTTACCTTCAAAATAACTCAAACCCAGAATCCACTGTCTCTTGCCTAGATTTTGCAATGGCCTCTGATACAGTTTTTGTACTTTAATAGTAGAGCAACTACAATGATGTCACTCCATCACTCAAAACCTGTAGTATTTTATCTTCCTTAGTCCTTCCAAAGGCCTACAAAGCCCACCCATGACCTGGCCCCTGCTCTCATGTCTTACTCCTCTCCTGTTCACTCAGCTCTAGCCACACTGGCCAGTCTGCCTGGAACAATGTTCCTCGAGACAGCCATGTGGCATACTCCCCCTTTTGTCGTATCTCTGCTCAGCTGTCAGTGAGGCCTACCCTGACCATCCTATATAATATTCATTCAATTCATTCATCCAACATTTACTGTGACTCTAGTATTCTCTGGCACTGTTCCATCCCCTGGGAATACACAGTGAACAAAATAGATTCTAAAAAAAAATCCTTGCTCTCATGGAGTTTATATGCTATTGGGTGCTAGAGAGGAGGGGAGATGGTAAAAAGTAAATATAATATGTCAGATGATGATATACATGCTATAGGAAAAAAAAACTTGGTACCAGAAACAGTAAAGGCCTCATTATTCCCGTTCTTCCTGTGCTGTTCTCTCTACCCATAACATTTATTACCTTCTCACATAAAACCTATTTGCTACATTGCTGTGATTATTGTCACTGTGCCACTACAATGTAATCTATCCAAGATTAAGGATATTGTCTTTTTTTTTCATTGCTGACTCCCAGAACAAGTAGTGCCTGGCACACAGTGAGTGATCAACAAATATTTGTTGGATGAACTGAAATTCTACTAAATGCCTTCTTTCAAATAAAAATGATTTTTTAAAAATTAAAACATACCATCAGTTATAAGCACTTTCTTCTCAGTACCACAGAATGAGAGGTAAATCAGAATATCTTCTAGAAAGGGAAAACACAGAGTGGGAGCTAAAATCTATTAATACTACCTTCTTACAGTAATTTCTGGCATGGCTTTTTTTTTTCCACTCAAGTGGGAGGGCTCTGCACAGCACTAATGAACTCTTGCAGGGAGTCAGGACCGACTCTAATGAACTAGAAGGCTGCACTGACCTTAGAAACTTACCAACTGTGGGGAGGTTGGGGTTCCTACGGCCAGGATCCTCACTGAACTTAAACCACCTGAGGATGTAACTGGCCTGTTGCTAGGCTACCACCTCCACACCTTTAGGCAATAAGCTATTATTGTGCTATATAGAGAGCTCGGCCCAGTGCTCTGGGTGGAGGAAGAGACGCTAGTGCTCGGCCTACCTCCGGGAGAACAAACTGGGTAATAAACCCTTTCACCCCAAAGAACGTTTTACTGTCAATTTCTTTGGACACATTGAATCCATAGCGAACTTGCCCAGGGCTGAATCCCTTTGGCAAGACACCAACACAGAAGAGTTTTTAGCTTTTTTACCTCATTAAAAAAAGAAAAAAATCCATGCTAAAAGTTAAAGCTGCTATTCAAATTTACAAACAATACATTTACTAGCACCCTCAAAGATGCTTGTGGTAAAAGAGACAATACCTGTATCATCATGAGCTAAAATTAAAACGAATCCATTTTATCATTTTTAATGTGTTGATAAATACCAACCATACTTATCTCACAAAACTGTCATATGCTCATCCAATATTTAACAAATATTTAATAAATCCTTGCTACATACCAGGCACTATTACAAGGGTTGTATGTGAAAAAGAATGGATTTAATAAGCTAAAAAAGACTAGTAAAACAAATAATTATGATTGATTACAATTATATTTCATTTACTCAACCAAGATGACCTCTGAAAGAACTGTACTGAGAAACTCTTCTGCAAAATACTTGTATATCTAACCTTATGAGAAAACAACTATTGCCCAATAAACTGGCTTAATTTCTTCTCTTGTTTAACAAAATTGTTAACGAGAGTAAAACAGGCAAAGTTGGGCTATTAGTGATCTGCCACTTTCCTAACCCACGACTCTAATGCCCTTAAGATGGTAATAAGAAATGAGGTTGCCCCTGGCAATAAGAAAAAGGAAAAACAAAGAGGCTAGATAAATTGATCTTTGCATAATCATGAGTTAATCACTCAAGCTGATATCATTCCCCTGAGGGGCTACAGCTTTACACAAATCTCAGACTAACAAAATCATTTTGTCTCATCCATCTGTCCTGGTGGGGACAGCTTTCAGTTTTCCAGCTTCCCATTTCCCTTTCTAAATCTCCTCAATGTAAAGAGAAAAGCAGGATTTCCAAAGGATCCTATAGTAAGTCATCTACTTAATGAATGCAAACTAGGTTTGCTATACAGTCTATTTGCACCACAAAGATCTGAAAAATACTCCAGCAGATCAAAACAGGATTCGATTCCATCAAATATTCTGCCAGTGGGGTGACACCAGGAGTCAGAGGCAGACTGAGGGGTTGTTTTTAAATAGTGTAAATCATATAATATTCACTGTGTCTTATATCTTGAGAATAATGTATAAACCATAATTCAATCTATACTTCTTTAAATTGGAGAGACAGTTAGTTATATTTAACACATGTGCTCCTGAGAATATAAATGTTAACCTGATGTCACAGACTTAGAATATCCTCAATAAATATTCATTTGTTGCAGAAAGAAAAACAAATCAAAAATAGACCATTTAGAAAAATAAACAGGAATATGGCTATAAAAATTATTAGTTTCTTGCAGAAAAGAAAACAAATCAGAAGTAAAACATTTAGAAAAATAAATAGGAATATGGCTATAAAAATTATTAGTTTCTTTGTATTCCTACCTATTCATCAAAACTATAGAAACTTTCTACTTTACTTTTAACTGAACACATGATATTAATCTTCATCCCTTTAAAATGAAGTATTAAAAAACTGCCTTACTCTTCAATATGAAAACTGAATCATCTCAGAATTAGTGACACAGTGAGTGAATATGGCAAAACTACAAGCCATGAACAGTGATTTGGGCCTGGGTTCCTTTTGCACAACCTGGGCATAATCCCACCTGTCCTGTGAGGACCGCTGAGTATGTTAGCGTCTGGTACATGGTGATCTCTCAGTAAAAGCTAGATGCTCCTTCTGTTAATTGTTCCCACTACTCAACCAACCAATGAGCACTTAAACCTTGTGCATTAATTAAAAACAACAAACCTAGGGATTTGTTTGCTTCACAGCCTATGGCCATTCACTCCAACCTCTGCTGGAGGTTGGGTTCTGGTGGACATCAAGTACATATGATGAAGATTATGGGGTGGATAAGGCCAAAAATGCAGAGCTGGCAAGCAAAACCAATACTTATACAAAAAAAATCAAATCCCCTACAAACTGGAAAAACAACAGAAAGGTTGGAAAGATAACTAGCTACCCAGAAAGGGGCTAACAGCTTCTCTCATTCCCTACTCTCCCCCTCCAGCGGCCATGACAATGTTGGGTGGGTGCTGTGGACAGACAGGAAGGGATTAGGGGCCCAGGAGCGTGGAGGAGGTGGAGGTGAAGGTGGAGGTTTCTGACACTTGGGGAACTTCCATTTGGGCTGTGAGAAGGCTTTTTGGTTCCTTCCTGCATATCAGTGTCAACTTCTATTTTGAGGCTTGGGAACAGTACACAAAAAGCTGAAGCAGGAAGCTGGGGGTTTAGGACTTAACAGGTATAACAGAAACAGGCAAAGAGTAGAAACGATAGAAGAATTCTAGGTAGAAGTTCTATCAGGGAGTAAACAGCATGTATTTAGGCTTGATTGTCTTCTGTGCTTTGGGGAACGGGGGAGGGTAATGAACCCCAAGCACATTCTAGATTTTTCTCCAAACATTATTTCTAACAAGTGTATTTTAAAACTTA